TATACGAAGACACTGACGATCCCGATACAGCTCCTGGTGACAGCTGCCCGGCAGAGACCTAAACGGCATATAGGCCCTTATTTGTGCGCAACTTTAGAGACAGGGAGCACTCACCACATAACACGTATCGTTGCTGCTTGAGCTTGCTTGCTGCGAGGAAGCCGAGGTGGTTGGTATTACCAGCTGAAGCGGCGATGGCGAATGAGACTGAAACAGGTCAAAATTCTCCAGGATGTTATTCTCAGTCAAACCTCCACAATCAGATGCAACCCTGACCAACTTACCCTGAATCTTACAGTCTCGTCGACCGGTGACAGCTCCTTACAAACACGTGCTTCAGGCACAGGATGATGGTGCTGCTCTTCAGATGGATCGCATGAGATGGCAAACCGAGGCAATGGTGACCTACAACTTATAAAATATATACTAGAAACAATAGGGTAAAAATTGAGACCGCAGTTAGCTTATGAAGCCTACCTCCTAGCATCCATTCCCACAACAATCGTGCTCACGTGTGACGAATCCATGCTGCTATCTGTCGACGAGCAGGCAGTATTCAAACAACCCGTACCGGTAGTTCCACTCGACGATGTCGAGACATTTGCTTGGCGTTGGGCCGAGAAGCGGCGCCTTAGCAGCATGGCCTGGAATTGAGACAGCATGACCACATACATAGCTCACCAGCCGGTGGATCATGAAGGAGCTTCTATTCCACTTACCGATGGTATTGGGCATTCCTTCTCGTCAACCAGATCGGTAATCGATTGATCCTCACTGGACTGAGTGGTCGATGACGGTTTTCGTGAACGCTTCGACGGTTGCACTGGGGCGCTCTAAAATACTCCAATAAAACCAGGTGAAATTAAAAAACGGGTTTTCAAAAACAAAACTCAAGAGCTGCGATGAAACGGTACTCCTCAAAGGTTACCTGTGGTCCCTGAATCTGCTCTACGGCAACAATCGAATGCCGAGGACTAGCCGTCGAAAATGAGTGAAACATTGGAGCTGCTGCAGCTACGGCACTAGCTGTTTCCTCCTCACCGCATGATTCCGCATCATGGTTATAACGATCAGCACGAGCTGAAAATGGGAATGATCATTTTACAGTTCAAAAAGGTTAAAACATTCCTCTCTGGCGATTTCTTGTATGACCCCTCGTATCAAGGGTCAGGCATGCTTAGCGGAAAACCGATTTACGGGTAACAAAAGGGTGTATTCCAAAGGGTCCCTGTTGAAGGGCCAACATGAGAAAGCTTGGAAGACTTGCCAAAAATTTTTAGCTTTAAGAAATTATTCGAGGTTTTCTTGCCTCAACACCGTGTCTAAATCTTGGGAATCGCATATTTCCACCCCCCCCCCCTTCAGGTCTCCTACTCCCCATCCGCTTAACGAAAAACTATGGACTTGGATGAACACGATTAGGATTAGGAGGGGTTATATGTATAAGGATTTCTCAAGGTTTAGAATCCAAACACTGATTCAGCAAACACGAAACACGAAACAGAACTCTAAAAAGGGCTATATTTACTCACTGTCGAAATAACTCGTGTCTTCTTCGTTCTCCAACTGCGGTACAAACTCAGCTTTCTGGCGAAGGAGTGTGTTGAAGTCAAGCAACGCGAAAATGGCTCCTAAAAATGGAAAAAAAATTCTCAAATCACCAAAGTGAAATCGTGAATCTTGCTACCATTAGTTATCAAAAACTGCAATATAAGGTCGGAACACTCTTTCAAAGGCACGGGTTACGACTCAACGTAGAGCGATTCTCTCCCTTGGGGATATGGCAGGCTCCTCATACAAGGAAACATGGCATTACCGTTACTCGAAAGTGTGCTGGCGCTAACGATAAGGCTCGCTTTGACGGCTGCGATCACCGCAATTTTTACCCATTAGCAGTATACGCGTGTCTGCGCCCTCTCGTTCAACCTGCTCTCTCACGCCTTCCCTCTCCTCGCCGCACTATGTCTCTCCACCGTACCAAGGTGAAGTTACGAGAAAATGAGATACCCAATTCCAGTGTTTTTATCACTAATCCTTTCACTTTCCTCACAAGGTCCTGGTTGCAACTCTTGTATCATTTCCGAGCCGAATAGTACACTAAATCGATCGCGACCCGTGTCTTTGAAAGGTACCTGTGCAGTTCCTTACTAATGAAGGAAATCTAGAAAAATTCACCTAGACGCTCCATCGGATTCTTCTCAAGCAAACGCCTGATCAGGTCTTCAGCTTCACGCGGTAGTGCCTCGTCGCCATCCGGATATTCTACCTCTTCTGAAAAAAGCAAATGTTTCAAGGTGGACTGCACAACCCTGGGGCGTAAAGGAAGAAAAAACTTCTAAAAATATCTTAAGTACCTCGAAAAGGTTACTGTACCTGATATAACTTTGGAGAATAGGTCCTCCGGTGAATCGCCGAAAAATGGCACACAACCGACAAGAAACTCGTACAAAATCACACCCAATGCCCACCAATCAACCGGTTTACCGTAGCCCTGGCGAAGGATCACTTCAGGAGCGATGTATCTAAAATGAACCATGGAATGAAATGTGCACAGAAGTTGAAAAAAAAAACAAACTTTACATATTCAATTTTTCAAGCCTCCAAAGGGACATATAACAAAAATATTAGCAAACAAAAATAAAACTTACTCAGGAGTACCACACAGCTGCTTGTCTTTGAACTTGCTGAGTATCAATGGCATTCTCGAAACCTTCAGCTACCAAAGTGGTTCGATTCATGAGACCAATTTTTGACAACCCAAAATCTGTCAGCTTGATGTGACCCATCGCTGTGATAAGCAGACTGAAAGTGTTCAGTTAAACGGTTTAACTTATTAACTGCACTTGTAATAAAATCGTGTAAAAAACCCTTTTCAAGAGCCAAAAATCGAAAATTCAGCAGCGGACTTTACAAAGAAATGAAACGATTTTAAACAGACAATGCTGTTTGCGATGTCAATACTGTCAGTCGGCTTCAATCGATCTGGAATTACGCCCACGCAAGGTCGCGTTTGGCCAAGCGGGCGGGTAAAATCGTCTGGGCGGCTGAAGGACTGCCCGCCACAGCGGCTGTACAATTCAACAAGGCAGCCAAAACAAGTGATGAATTACAAACATGAGGATTTCAATTAAAAACTTCGTGCTTTTCACCCCATGATAGGCAACTAGCAAATGAAGCCGCATCTCCAACCAGTAATATATTGTCGGTACACCACGACCGCGCCTTACGTCTAACCATACCCGTGCATTAGCAGTGCTATCCGGCAGAAGGTAACTTCCAAAACGGCGCTACAACTAGTTGAAAAGATGTCGAGTACGAATAATGGATCAGAACTGTGGACAAGACTACTGCTGCTGCAAATGCGCGCTGAACATACTGCACCAATTCTCATCGAAGTTTTTGTTTCGCAGCTTGAAGTGACAAGTCTCTACTATCACGCCTCACATAGAATTTCATTCCCTGTACGATACATCTTTCCGACAACCGAGTGCACAATATTTTGCTCGTGCGTCTTCAATCAAGCGCATTTTCTCGTAGGTTTGTAACCAAACATTTTTAAATGTTCAACATCCTGTATCGAAAGCTACAGGCAAAATTACTTTCATAATATTCCCAAGAACTATACGGCTGAATCATAATCTTTTTGACGGTAAAGCACTCTAGTAGATAAGAGGGAGAGGGTGGGGGGCCAAAGAATTACCCCACAGAGATAGTACACAGGACAATAAAATAAGTTTTAGAAAATGATAAAAAAAAACAAACCACCAAAAAAAAAAATGTATCGCTCAAGGAAAATCAATAAACAACTCACTTGTCTGGTTTCAGGTCCCTGTGAACAATACCATAGGAGTGGCAAGTACTCTATAGCTAGTACCGTCTCTGCCACATACAATCTGAAATGTAAAGCGAACGATCAAAAACAACAAAGCTACAAATCTGTTAGACAATTACGCAAGGAAAAATTTCAACGCATCACTGAATCCCTTTGAGCCCCAATATTCCCTCTGTGAAGCCTTCGCGACTCAGAAATACAACGAAAATGACATCTAGCAAGATAATCGTCGCTGCTTCGGAAATAGCCGTCCGTCTGCATACCCATAATTCGCATCACCGGCTTATTAAAAGCCATCAAATCGCCCAATCGAGGCTTATATGTAGTCCCCTGCGCTCTAACCCAATTGTTCCCTACCAATGTATTGAACGGCAGAAAATAAAATGAAAAAGACAATGCAAATTATTTACCATCGATCGCAGAACTAATTGGCAATGTGCCGCACTCTTGGCAGGCAATGCTGCGACAAAGTCACTACGGACCTTCACCGCTACCCAATTAGCATACCGAGATATGTTTCGTTTCAGAACCGATCATAAAACTATGAGACCACAAAAGGATTGTCGGTCATTGTCAGGATATCACGTTCAGCAAACACCTGCAAAATCAGCATTTCAGCCTGGTAGTATAATGGCCACGGCAATAAGTACTGCATACAAACTACTACCATCAATGTGCGGCTACTACCATGAATGAAAAATAATTGGATTTTAAATAGAAAACCCTTCCCATCCTAACCTTCTCTACTGCTTTTACCGATTCCTATGCCGCATCCCTTCACAAGTATTCAGCTCTTGACGAGCTTACTATTCCTTACTCCAAAACATTCTTTCTACCGGGAACTTCCAAACAAAAAAAAACCCTCCGCGGGTGAAGAAACCTATTCTGTTAATAAAACAATCAGATTGATAAAAAAAAACACTGACTCACTAGAATTTCGCAGTGCTTTCCAATAAACTGCAGCTTTTCGAACTACTCCCAACAAAAAAAAAAAAACGTTATGAAAAAAACACTTGAAAATTGTAATTGGTAATAGTCTAAAAAATCTCGTGAGGCATGTCATTTACACACTGACCTGATCAACCTGATTCCTGAGCACGCAACTGTCTTGCTTGTTCATTTACTCTCAAACACGCGAAAGCGCTGTGGTTTCGCGATGTCCACAAAAATAAACGCTCCGTAGACACCACTTTACTGACCAAACGACTGAAAATAAAGACCAGATAGACGAAATCAGTAAAAAATAAAAAAATCTACATTCTCACATAAAAGAAACTCGTCCAGATAACCAAAGATTAATGAACTAAATGTAATATACAATCGTACATTCTTCTTGTCTGATACACAATACTGACTATCAATGGTAGTTTGGAGATATGCATCAATAATATGGTAGGGTTTATATAAAAAAGAAGACACGTTTCTTAGTAAGTGAAAACCTTGGGAAAATGAAGATTTTGATTAAAGGAAAAAACGGGTTGACTATTGATAGAACAAAATTTCTAATGTGCGGACAGGAAGGGTAGAAGGAGGTGGGGATGAACGAAACACAAAAGAGAAAACAGACCTCTTAAAGGCAGAACGGGATTGTCAACCCAAATTAAGGGAATTCGTCCTCATATCCGATCGCACTTCGTTACCTACTTTTTTGACTATTTCAATCCTACTCAACAAGCAACGCCCCTTATTTGGTCCAACATTATTAGGTTGTTCATAAATGATTTGTCGCATTTTTCAATACTCGAAAATTTTCACTAACCGCATTGCTTATACCATCGATTCCATATACAATTCGCGTCGAAAGAGAATTGTCTGCTCTACAAGGGCTTGTGTTCATCTTCTATCTATGTTCCATGTTTTCAAATTTTTCGCCTGCGAAATGGGAGGTCCCGCCGACAAAAATTGACCAAACCGACAACTAGCTCTAACTTTATTTTCCCTGCGGAGAAATCAATCAATGATGTACCCTCTACTTACTCATGACCTCTTCTGAACATTCCACCCTTAGGTTGCCGAAAAAGGTTTGCCCTGTTTCTTTTCGAATTGGCCGACCGATAAGCCATGGCAATTTTCAAATTGAAATTCTTCCTCTGAAACGCTATTGTTTTATATCAACTGGTGTATCTTTTGTGAGCACTTCTTCTGCTCTATTCGCTCATTTGTTTTGTTTTATGTTTGTTAGGAATTAGCTCGAATTTTAGGTGTTTAGGAGTAAGGTGCTTTATCCACGAAAGTGACCGCATTTCTTTGAAAAAAATTATTCCTGAGAAGATGAGAAAATCAACCAGGCGTACATTCCTAACATTAGTCATGACTTGTTCTTTAAATTCCACCAGTTTTTCAATGTCTCGGCTATAAAAAAATTTCGACCTCGATCTCAGGTAATGGTGCTCGACCGTCGAGTTCTGGTTGAAAAACCAGGTCTGGAAATGGAACGACGCGACTTGTTGGGAACCTAATAGTGTAATGTTCAGAAGAGGTCATGTGTAAGTAGAGGGTACATCATTGATTGATTTTCTCCAAGGGAAGATAAAGTTAGAGATAGTTGTCGGTTTGGTCAATTTTTGTCGGCTGGACTTCCCATTTCGCAGGCCTAAAATTTGAAAACCCTGGAACAGAGGTGGAAGGGGAATATAGCATCTTGTAGAGCAGACGATTCTCTCGAATGGTATTATTGAACAGAGAAAAGTGCAGATATAGACGAAAAAAGGGTTTCTCGGGTTAAAAACATAACAACGCCCATCTAACTTATAGCCAAACCATAATACATGTAAGAGATACAAAATCCTTCTCAACCGCCCCCCTCACTTTCTATCCATACTCTTACTTCTAGAAACATTTCTAAAGGATAGATGTGCAGGCCTCCAGAGACTAATAAATTGAGCCTACACCCCTGTATTTTTCACACATCATCTTCACTGAATGCTCTTCGTGATGTAAACATCCGCCTTTCCCGAAATTGGCCTAAGGCGGAATTTCACTCGCGCGATGTGACAACAGCTGGTGGACGTTGAAGCATGTGGACGGTGATTTTCTGCTCGGGGTTCAACATCCATGCATGGTCGCATCCAGAACGAAGCTTCCCTAAAGAAGAAATCTTTGGAGAATCTTCAAAAAAAAGAACAGGAACTTTTTCATAAATCTCTTGTTTCAGGGGAGATAGATATGAGCTAACAATAGGAATTCCTCGTCGTTATGTATTGTCTCCTCGTGATGTAGCGGATTATCGTTTACACTTTCTAGGGAAGCATTACCGGTAATAGTTTACCCAAATGTCAAAGAAGAAAAGGGGAACAGGGAAATCAATAAAAAGCCCTAAGAAATCCTCAATCCTTTTAAATTCGCACAAACGCTAATAGCTCCTGAAAAATCGGAAACACTCTCAAAACCAACCGATAATGTACTGTGGCAGATCAGGCACTCGCGCAGTCCCGCTACCCAGCTGCTCCCTCACGACACCTTTCAGCTTCCTCGAGTAGATGGTAAAACTCATCCGGATCAAACTCCTAAATAAAGTTCAAAAATCAATTTTTGAATCGTCATGCACCATTTAGTAAGCTACATTGTTTCCCTTGATAAACTAACCAGGCATTCCAGTAATCGTGCCGGTCGACTCACAATCATCAACAGCTGCTTGACCAATTTTGAAAGGTATGCAAATTAGGAGAGTGCTTTTTTGCTCGGGCCTAAGAAAAACGAAATTTTGATCGTCGACAAAATTGGTAATAGAAGTAAAGTCAATAAATTCTACCGAGAGAAAATATAACCTTATAGCTTAATAGACAACAAACCTCATTCAGCGTCTCATCAAGCCTCTGACTCATCTCGCAAAAATAGGAGCACGATATAGTTTCATCACGAGATCGAGCCAAACAATCCGATGCTACCTGTAAATCGATTACTATTCGATAGACTACGGTTAATAACAAGGTACAATACGAAAGTAAAAGTTGAAGCAAAATGATTTCTCGTTGAATTTCTATTCACATGAAAAATATGAAAGACCTATGTGTGTTGCTGCTTCAAGTAGACTTCAAACAGTAAAAATTTACATAACAATAACGATTTCTATTAACCATTCAACAATCTGGTGATCGCGGGCCCAAAATGCTTGTTGGCGGCCGATCACCAATTAAAACCGCAGTACCGTAACGAGTCAATAATTTTTTCTGTTTCCATCACCTTAAAAACACGAAGGTTAAGGTTATCACTAATAGATTAAGGTGATCACTGGTAACTGGTCCCTCTTAGAACTCAACAACGTCTTACAGTATCTATCACAGATCTATCCATTATTGAAGCTTACAAGAGCTTTTGGTCCTTACGAATTTCGTACGAAACGATGGTGACCCAAAAATCCGAAAATTCCACACAAACGTGGGGTTTTTGCGGTCCTAGACGACATATGTAAGATCCTATATGGTCCTTAATAAGGTTACCATAGGCCGTTTACTCGTCCGGTATTTCATCACTACCTCAACATAAGGCCTCTAGTACACCCATCGAATTCATTCAGCCCAGCCTCCATAATGGCTAAATGACTCACCATGGAACGGCGATTATTCACGCCTTCTTGACCCGTGTCATTGTCTCCCGTCGACGAGCCACCGCTGAGCGGCGCTTGTTCAGCGACAAAAGCCGCCAGTTTTTCTTCCATTTGGACCTTTGCCTGGAAGTTCTTCGTTTATAAAGAGACTGTTTAACTTTACAGAAAAAGCGTCTTCTCTTTCAGCCCAATATTCACAGAGTACCTCAACAAAACCGCTTCCCAATTATACGAAAGACAGAATCCCAGTAAGCCTAATAGCCTAATCATGAATTTTCAAGCAACAAAATACTCTGCAAGCTAACCTTGGGAAAACGCTCTTTGTAGACACTATTCCGGTTGACAACATCCAGATGGAAGTCCGAATGGAGTTTGATGGGACTGCTGAAATTTCAATAATATTGAAAACAACCATAACTTTATTAAATCACGGAGCCAATTGGAAGAAATTTAGCCAAGGGTTCAGCACCCCGTTCTCGCCTAACATTTTCTCTTATAAAACAAGAAAAAACTGATGAAAACTTTCTAAAAGAAATCCCCATGAATTTCAATCTAAACAATTTCATACCGAAACTCAGCTTTACCCAATGATATAAACAGAAACACAAGCAAGATGAACAATAAACAAAAATATAAAGCTTAAATCCACTCAAAACTTTTAGGAAGAGCATGTGGTCAACTGATGGGGAAATATCAGAAAACTGTTAGAAATAGGCGCCGGGAACTCACGTCAAACTTCTACTTCGTGGCCGATACACGTTTGACGGATCTTCATTTGACGGACAACTGTCATTACTGTCGAAACGACCAGTCCCAACTCTCATGCATTCCAACATCTCGGAAAGGTGCTCTGACGACGAGTATTGACTCTGAAAAATATTCCAAATAGATGGTGTCACAAACTGGATAATTTTCAACATTGTACCCTATTTTACCCACGAAATGCAAGAAAATTCAATACTCTATAATTTCGAATGGCCGAGTGCCAAGAAAATTCAATACTCTCTATAATTTCGAATGGTCGAGTGCTGGGGAAAGTGACAGGAATTAGGAGCGGCTCAGGGGAGTGCAAAGAAAGAGTAAGGCGCTCAAACCAGGTGGAGATTGCGCTAGAAGATCATAGCTCGAGTTCATGATAACTAATGGACCGAGAACGACTAGTAAAAAATTTATAGTGAGAAAAGGGTACGAAGCTGCTAACTCACATGAAAATGCGAATGGTGCTGCCCCGGGGTTGTGCCGTACGCTTGTTGACCAGGTGTGCCGATTGCCAGCTGGACCAACGACGATTGTCGTGCTGTGGAGCCATTAATGAACTACCGGTACGTGACGAGTACGATCTGAAATCAAGGAAGTTCGTTCCGTTTGAACGAATATTTTTTTAACAGCAGGTGCTAGTAGTCGCAGTTTCAAACCCTTTGTGCCGTCCGTTATCGAGCGAAAAATTTTGAATGTAAGGGTATCGACAACTTTATTTCTCGAATTCTTGAGTCAGGCGTCTATACGTTAATCTATAATGGAAAACATATGGGGTTTACGAAAACTCCGCCCGTAATGGACAGACAGATCAGCATCCCATACCATGATAAAAAAGAGATAGCGTGCTCCAAAGGGTGCACGGACTCGCAACGGGCTAACTGACTAATTTAATTATTTATTATTTATTTATTTATTTATTTATTTATTTATCATGCACTCTAGGTGCGCCATCGGCAAACAAAAAAAGCAGTGTTAACAACACAACATAAAACAAGTAAAACCCTATATGTAAGTAGCTTTACACCATACAGCCGTGCACCAGCCAAGAGAACGTAAAGGGACCTGTAGGATGGATGAGGGAATAAGGATGAAAATATGGAAAGAAACCGAAGCATGTAAGATGTGGGCTAGCCAAATCTCAACCTCGAAGAGTTACAACAACAATCGAGCGGGAATGCCATTCACCAAGTTCATCAGAAGCTGCACTCGACTAATGAGTAGGGTGAACCGTCGCGCTCGTTTTATTTATCTAAAAATGGGTGCAACCTCACCTCTCAAGGGGATTTTCTACACGTTTCCCAACAACATCACACCTAAAAAAGGCGAGGGGGCGGGTTGAAGACCCCATCACCACAAACTGCTTCTTTTGACTCTGGTACTAAATTACTGAGCCATCGAACTTCACTTCAACTTTCCAGAAAGGTATAAGAGGGGGGGGGGGGGGGGGGGGGGGGGGGGGGGGGGGGGGGGGGGGGGGGGGGGGGGGGGGGGGGGGGGGGGTAAAATATTCAGCTCCCGAAACGACTACTTCTCCTACAACCCAGTCCAATTTCATCTTCCGCAAATACAACTCCCGCTCTAATTTTCTCAACGAATAGCCGATCATAGTAGATCCCAAATACGACCCACGCCTCCAAGAACCACAAATATGACCCCTACTAGCCCGATCTAGTAGTTGACCAAGCTCATAGGGTCCAAGGCAGCATCAATCCACGATTATAGAGATTCACTTTCTCCAGTAACATTTTGCAACAAGGTCTAACATTGATATAACCTTTTAACGAGTTGCTGAAAATTTGCAATGGAAGTGGCTGCTGCTTACTCTCACCATAGAAGCATGCCTAACGGTCTACTTTTCTCAGGGATCAATCAAAAGTTGCTGCGACCTTCCGAAAAAACCTTTCCGAAAATCCGATTTTCTCATGCGCACTATTCACCGGAACTCTAGACATCTCGTCAGAAATGCTGCAGAGGCTACGGCAGCTCACCAGTGCAACTGCACTGTGACTCATGCATGAAATATTACTACGAACACAATCTCACAAGGGTACCCTCTCTGGGAAAGTCATTCGGTGTGATTCTCGCAAAAAAAATGCTAAAGCAAGAAGTGCTTTTGCACTTCAAGAAGGCTCGAACTCATTTCTTCCTCGAGTTATATTTCTAGCAATATGGATTTCAGCTCGTGCGATGATAACGAAAATATCCTCGATTTTTTTTGAAGACAGTGGTAGCACAGAGCATGCTACCAGCACCGTACTCTTCTTGAAGCGCTGTCTGCAGCTATTTTGGGGAAGTTTGAGATTTAGGCGTCCTGCCTAGCACCCTTATCTCAGCCATGATGAATCAAAAGCGCCTCTTCTGCTGGATTGCAGGTGGAGGACGGCTTCACTGCTCACTGATGAAAGGACGCTTTCGTACTCTTCTCAAGCCGACATTTACCAATAATAGGCGCTGCCACCTCCCGCCCTGTACAGCCTGGTGTTATGACGTCGTTTTCAAAAATCTCAGGAATTAAGGCTGTACATTATTCCTCAATTATCTCAATATGAAAATAATGCTGTAGACTAATTCCGATTGAATAATCTCCTCGAACTGTGGGAAATAGAGCAAATTCAAGCCACGAATACTGAGACCACATGTTTTCTATCACTGTTCGTCAGGCTCAACGAGCGTCTCGGAATTTTTAAGGAGTTCCGAAATTCAATCAAGCCTAATCTTCAGCATTCAAAACTGAATCAGGATAAATCGGCACCATCGAATAGAAGTTGATGAAGTGTGAGATAAAAACAAATTGGCAAACTGTAACCACAAAGATCCGAAAAAGCTCTCTTCAATGGAAACTGCCTCTATTTCAAACTCAGAAAATTGCACTTCATTCAATGCTCACCTTAACGGTACTCCCACAGGCGCTGTTGTTCTGGAGGTACTCGCGGCACCATTACCACCGGTTGTAGCACGAACTGGACTATGACATCGTGGGGCCAGAACCGGAGACGTGGACGTGTTCAGACTTCGCCGAGCGGCACTTGACCGTGTCGTCTGGGAAAGTGTTTGGACATCCTTCTGGAAATGGAACCATTGGTTAAGTTTACAAAATATATGTAGTTATGATTCAGTTCATTCTTTGAACCCACGGGAATCATGGTAATCGCCTTCCTAAGTAATGGAGCTCTTGAAAACATTCTATAGCAATTTTTGAGAACACATTACCTTCTGCTCTCGATTCTCCATTTCCAGTTAAAATATAATATATTGAGACTAACCTACTTTATAACATAAACAATTTAAAGCTTGATTTTTTGCATAATAAAGTAAGTGAATCGATCGGGCCATCAAAAATAATTATTGCCTTACTTTTGTTGAACTGCTTCATTGGTCTAGAAAAAAGAATAAATGAATGGATAGCTCTAAATGGATAGCCCTAATAAGCTCTAAAATCCTACAGAATCCTCCCACTGAAAGTTTCATTGCCTTAGTTGTTTCTGCAAGGTTCCAAAACGCTTTTCCTCATTTTTTTTCATTTATTATTAAATGTTCCAAAATCCCAACAAATCCATCGGCAGCACCCTTGCCTATCCCACGGCATTCATTTGCAACTATTTCTGATCGCAGCTGTAATATGAGAGCCAATAATTGATTCTCTGTTAAAAACGCCTCAAATATCCCCCAATCCAAGGATATCATATTTCTGTTTGGCTTTCTGCACTTCCACTTGAAGAATTCCACTTGAAACCCCTCAAAAGGTATTTGTGTACATCATAAAATATTCGTCTCGCTAATGGGATGCAGCACAAAACGCGTTATGGGAGATCATTACTCAAGCCTTTATCCTGTTGAAGCCATAGCTTCGTAAATCCTCCATCCTTTCCAATTTATGACCGAGGACGGAATGCGTCCAAAAACTAAACAAATGCTGACTGAGGGCCTCGGCTTAGATAGGGAGGGTTCTACTCTTGAAAAGCAAGGGTCTCCGAGTTTATAAAGCAGTTG